AGGTATTCGGCCAATCACAACGCACTGGATAGCTGGCTAATCAGAGCACACCTCGCTTTTCAGACCAATGAGCTTTGTAAAAATCGACGCGTTTCAGATAGGCGGGGCATAGAGGAGAAACAATAATGTACAGTATGTGGAAAATGTGTGTTTTGAACTTTAAACCCATGTGGATTCCAACCCAAATTTCATTACACCAAATACATAAAATAATGTTCTTTTTAGCAACATTATATGTCCCCTTTAAATCAGCAGGGATGCATTAAATTGTCAAAAGCGACAGTTAATAGATTTATAATATTACAAAAATTTTGCATTCATAATAAGTAGGGATGCACCTGTATACTGGTTTCCAATACTGGTGTGCAAAATTTAATTTTTATATAGAAAAATGATCTGTTCCACTCTTATTAAATGTACCATTATATGGAACTGACCAACTTCAGTGATTGTGTGATTTAGTAGCAAATTGAAGGAAGGTTTGTTTTTCAGGCACTTTGTGACTTTTCTTACTTCATACACAAAAAAGTGTGATCAGATTTCTTGATGATTTTATATTTTATAATAGTGATTTTATAATTTCAAAATATAGAGAAAAAGTAGAAATTAATGACCAATAAGCCAATAAGTGCTCCTCTGCTGCCGTCTACTCGTTATAATTGTGATTTGATGTATTTTTTAAATTTTACATAAGTGTTTGTTCACCACAAAGTATATTTTTGTCATCCCATTAAAAATAACAATCAAACTGGATCATTTTAGAGCTTTAAAGTGCTGGAAATAGTTGTGTGAAATGCTTGAAATTCATTGAAAAGTGCTTGAATTTCTCTCTCAAAAGGTTGTACAAACCCTGAAATGAATGATGTAATGCAGTCGACTATTTCTACCACAACACCATGGTTATAGTTAGCGTTACCACTTATGGTTTCCTGACGTATGTCAGCGCTGTTTATAACAGAGAATTATGTGCAGAATTTGAATGATTCTAAGATCTCGCAGCAACCTTATCATTGTGCGGCGAATTCAAATGCTTCTCACTGGATCTCGCAGCACTGTTGCATCTGTGCAGTAACAGTGTCGCGAAATCAACTTTGGCTCCCGAGTAAAGCTGTTCTGAGCTCGGACAAGTTTGTTTGCGTCGCGGTCCGATCTGATAAACGATCCGTGCTGCGCAGCTGAAACGTAGCGCGGTTTAGTTTCGCTTTCATTTCGTTTGCTGTTTCTCATATGCAACAGAAATGGCAGTGCTTATGAGTTGGGCAACGCGGTGGTAGCGCCAGTGCGACCGCTCACAAAAATTAGACGCCCCAGCAGACAAAATGCTCGCAAAATGCGACCATTTGGTCGCAGTCTGGAGCCCTGAATACTATCGTCTATCGGCACAACCCTAGTTTCTTTTGACCATCATATCAAGTAGGGATGCACCGATACCACTTTTTTCAGTACTCGCCCGATACGATACTTTTTACAATATTACTGTTTTTACTGTATTTTTGATTAAAGAAATGCAGTCATGATGATAATAAGAGACTTCTTTCAAAAACATAATATCTTACCGGCTACAATTTTTTGAACGGTAGTGTATATCATGTTAGGCTATAATTAAAAATCTATACTAAAAATAATCACTACTACAACTCTGCAGCAATGTATTGTAGGCATCAAAGCAATGAAAATGTAAAGTGTCTATGAATGAACCATGTAACTTTGAAAGTAATGTTCGTAAAAGTTGCATAAAAATCTTTCTGAGCTTATCTCATTTGTAATTGATATATATAAAAAAAAAACTTTTTGTCATTCAGAGCTCTGGAACATTCACTGATGTGCTTGTGTGTGTTGAGGTTGTGTGACCTTTTGCCCTGAGTCTTTTCATCCTTATTATGGATTTGTCCTGTAATGCACTTACAGCAGACAGCAGAGGAAGGTCCGGTTAAATTGTGCTTGTATTGCGCATTATAGTCATCCCCGCAGGTTTAGCGCTTATACCAAACGCGCGCGCACCACCACTGATCTATATTAGTGGAGCGCACAATCCGCGCTCAGTCTCAAACATCTTGTGAGCCACAAATACCAAAATGAATGGCTAACTGCGCTAAAACGTTCAAATACATA